TCTCAAGTCCTTGTGATACTAAGCACATTCTGAACACTCTTTATCTCTCATTGCACAGACTTTGTTTTAATGTCCCTACCCTCAAATTATGTTTTCTTTTCAACATATGCTCCTCCAACCTATATAATATCTCAATTCATGCATTCTTTCATGACATAACTTCTCTCCAGCACATAAACTCACAAAATACACTTTTTGAACACACATTATAACATAAATAAAATTATAAAGGTGACAAATTAATAAAAATGAACATATAAAAATACTTAAATTATTTTAGATTTTAGCATTTTCAATTTTTACATCGGTTTCTGTCTTTTCCATCTATATACCCCACCCGTTCCTGACCAGCAGCACGCACTCTCACTCTTCACTTTAAAGAACACCCGAGTTGCACGTGTCCAATTTACCGTTGAGCAATTAAATTGAAATAGTTTGCTATTCTAAGAGTCACAAATTTCTATATATTTTATTTATGCTATATCTGTTTTTATTGTGTCATTTCATTTGTAAGGGATTAACATTTATTCAAATTATCTTTCGATAAGCATGTCATTTTTCGATATGAAACGTACGTTATCTCGTTGTTATAGGTTGTGTATCATATCGTTCGGCATAGCGTTGTTCCCTTAAATAGACTATGCGATTGAACACCCTTAAACGCATTGTCTGTCAGTATTGTGATACACGTGCAGTAGGCTAAACAGGATATGATGATGCTGATCAAGCGATCTTATATTTTTTTATATATATTTTATAATGTTATTCGATACTAAAGGAAATGCGCTTGCGGAATTGCCATATTTTCTGTTTGTGATATTTGAGAGATAATCCTATATATCATCCACAATGTCGTAACACATGTCACCTGTTTAGTTACTGGTTGACAGCTAGCAAAGTGTTGATGACTAATTAGATATAATCGACACCTTACGTTATCATATTACAGGAAACACATTAAAAACACTCCTACACATCCGTGGTGCTATATGTCACAAAAAGGCTGAACGGTTTTAACAGATATACAGGAGATGCATATATATAGCTATGTTTATTAAACATGTTGCTATTAACGAAAGCCTTTTAGCGTCACTTATAAGCGAACAAAAATACTAGAAAGGCGTATTTATTATCAAAAATACGTAGCTACGCCAATATACTCATTATGATATGTTTTGTTTTACGTCGTTACGACTTTCCAGTTAATGTTTAAATGACCCTTAAAGGATTTCATATATTTTTGTGAACTTGTAGTCGATCATGATATAATGCTGTAACTGTACACATAAACAAATAATAGAAAGCTGTATGTGACCAATTCTCTGTAAGATACAGCATTGAGGTTGTCCCTAGACGTTTCTGTAACTGTACACATAAAAAAGCTGTATGTGACCAACCCTCTGTCAGATACAGCATTGAGGTTGTCCCTAGATGTTTCTGTAACTATACACATAAACAAAAAACAGAAAGCTGTATGTGACCAATCCTCTGTCAGATACAGCATTGAGATTGTCCCTAGACGTTTCTGTAACTGTACACATAAACAAAAAAATAGAAAGCTGTATGTGACCAATCCTCTGTAAGATACACCATTGAGGATGTCCCTCGACGTTTCTGTAACTGTACACATAAAAAAGCTGTATGTGACCAACCCTCTGTCAGATACAGCATTGAGGTTGTCCATAGATGTTTCTGTAACTATACACATAAACAAAAAACATAAAGCTGTATGTGACCAATCCTCTTTCAGATACAGCATTGAGATTGTCCCTAGACGTTTCTGTAACTGTATAAATAAACAAAAAATATAAAAATGTATGTGACCAATCCTCTGTAAGATACACCATTGAGGATGTCCCTCGACGTTTCTGTAACTGTACACATAAAAAAGCTGTATGTGGCCAATCCTCTGTCAGATACAGCATTGAGGTTGTCCCTAGACATATCTGTAACTGTACACATAAACAAAAAATAGAAAGCTGTATGTGAACAATCCTCTGTAAGATACAGCATTGAGGTTGCCCCTAGACGTTTCTGTAACTGTACACATAAAAAAGCTGTATGTGACCAATCCTCTATCAGATACAGCATTGAGGTTGTCCCTAGACATTTCTGTAACTGTACACATAAACAAATAATAGAAAGCTGTATGTGACTAACCCTCTGTAAGATACAGCATTGAGGTTGTCCCTAGACATATCTGTAACTGTACACATAAACAAAAAACGGAAAGCTGTATGTGACCAATCCTCTGTCAGGTACAGCATTGAGATTGTCCCTAGACGTTTCTGTAACTGTACCCATAAACAAATAATAGAAAGCTGTATGTGACTCATCCTCTGTAAGATACAGCATTGAGGTTGTCCCTAGATGTTTCTGTCCCTATACACATAAACAAAAAACAGAAAACTGTATGTGACCAATCCTCTGTCAGGTACAGCATTGAGATTGTCCCTAGACGTTTCTGTAACTGTACCCATAAACAAATAATAGAAAGCTGTATGTGATCAATCCTCTGTAGATACAGCATTGAGGTTGTCCCTAGTCATTTCTGTAACTGTACACATAAACAAAGAATAGAAAGCTGTATGTGACCAATTCTCTGTAAGATACAGCATTGAGGTTGCCCCTAGACGTTTCTGTAACTGTACACATAAAAAAGCTGTATGTGACCAATCCTCTGTATGATAAAGCATTGAGGTTGTCCCTAGACGTTTCTGTAACTGTACACATAAACAAATAATAGAAAGCTGTATGTGACTAATCCTCTGTAAGATACAGCATTGAGGTTGTCCCTAGACGTTTCTGTAACTGTAAACATAAACAAAATAATAGAAAGCTGTATGTGACCAATCCTCTGTATGATAAAGCATTGAGGTTGTCCCTAGACGTTCCCAGCGTATTGCAATAATTAAGATAGACCTTCGCTTATAAGACACTAAAGAAATAATAGTTCAAGTACAAATAAAGACGAATGCGTGAATGTTGTGCTTGATTAGGACGTTCTAAAAGAATATGAAAATACGCAATTGTGGTTCAGACTGGTAGAAAGGAATAATCAACGAATTGCAAATTATCGATAAAGCCAGTTAAAGAAACTTGTGCCAAATATCTCTATTCCTAACACATACGGATATAATTTCCCTTGAAAGAAATGACATTTCGAATTATTTAAATAGTCGACTTCAGTTAAGAATGCCTGTCCCACTGTGCTGTTTTTTCCCCTATATTCAGTACACCCCCCTTAAATTCCGTTTAGATAAAACTGTAGATCAGTTGGGTTAGGATACTTCGTTGGCCAGATAGCTTAATCGGTTACTGTGATGGTACAGTGTATATCAATCTGAAGCCCAGGCTCCGAATCCCGGTATAAACCCGCTCATTGTTTTACACTCAGAACACTGTTATTGATTATATTTCATTTATTTCATCTTTCTCATTTCTCATAAACGTCCTGCAAGCTATGGTTTTCTATTTAGAAATCATAGTCATAATCATGCCGACAACCCCAACAGTCTCCAGTACTTAATTATAGTTTTTTTAAAGTGGTACGGGGATCCTAAACTAAGGCGAAAACAAAGCATGCATTTGTAAACGATACTAATCTTATGATGGGTGGTCGTTGTTGTTATACAGATGTTACGAGACATTAATAATTTGTATCTCATATTAAATCAGTGCCAGCTCGTCAGTGTAACACAGCGAAATTTGAATGTTATTTGGCAGTAATATAGTTTGTACTTCCGCACTCCACACACGAACGTATTGGATCACTGCTGGTTACCAGGGATATTAACACTTTATCATTGACCAAACATTAGATGATTTTTCAGATTTAATTTAATAACAGAAACGAACGTTGTATTTGATTGGCTGATTATTAGTTCACAGTTTGCTTGGCGCGTGATATTGGATATTGGGACAAACCCCACACAGATTCTATATGGTACTGATCGTAGTCTTATTATTGACAGATATATCGCTGATGACATTCTGGCAATTGACAGGTCTATAGTCATTAGAGTTATGTAGTATTGATGGATAGTATCGTATAAAGGCACCTTATTACATTATGGTATCTGCAGTTTTCTCAGCCATTGTCTCGCCCCTGCAGGTCGGGGATCCAGAAACGAATACACCTGCTGTTACTCACTATTTGTATAGTAAGAGGTGACTAATGTTAGAACCCCCTGCATAATTAGGGATTTGCTTTTGTTCCCTCAATTTGGGGACACAAAAGCGACCAAAATAAATCTACTGCACCCATTGCAATATTTGGGTTCTTTATATTTCTTTCTACTTCTTACTACATTTTATTTCCTAGCGCCTTGTTGGTAATACCTCACTTTTAGCTTTAATGCTGAACGTTCGCCAAGGTGAGGAAGGCAATGGGTTATGTCTTTAAAAATGGTAGTTGTTATTCCCTGCTTAACGTTCAGCATTAAGGGTAATGGCAACATTGTTAGTATAATGTGACCGGGCATGGTATTTCAGCGAGATAGCACTATTGAGTCGGCATCAGATCCGCTCTATCACAAGAAGGCAATTACACAGAAATACCCTGCCTCCGGCCCACATGCCACATGCACACATACACACATGCACACATACACACATGCACACATACACACATACACATACACAATACACATTGAGGCTCGTCCTGAAATTGCCTTAGCTGTTAATAGGACGTTAAACAAAGTAAAACCAAGCCAAACCAGCAGTTGTCCTTTTCGTTCTTGACCAGGTGGTTAAATTTAATTTACGTATAACCTAATTTCTTTCGAATGGATGTTTTTAGATATACACATGATGTCCGTTATAAATACTATTTTCACGAAATGTGTATATAGTATCAACCTGGGATAATCACTACACTAGCGAATTAGGGTTTCTATAGACCAGTCCTTCTTTTATTCATCTATAGTTACTTAATACTTACTTTAATATGATTGTTATATAGCATCTAATGAATAACATTTAAAATTGATTGTCCACAGGACTGCTGGACAGACGACCGTGGCCTATTACATGTCGACAGGCACCAGGACTTTATTTTGATGACGTCATCTATAGACAAGGGCCGGCGCATTCTGGAGTTCCAAAGACGATACGACACATGTGATGCTCACGACTATATTATTGAGGTAGGACTGGTTGATGGTCCAGATATCTAAATCATTCATTTGCGGAATGGTATGTCGGTCGGTATTTTAGACAAATACGACCTTGTGTCATTTCTAAGGAGAATAAAATAACATTGATTAGATAAACTGTATATGAAGAATCAAAACTGTAGTCATTACGTCTTAAAATTGTGTCCCATTCCTTCTTGCTTACAGAATGGTACAACTCATATACTGTTCTTCATTGGCGAGTCTAGTCCCCAGAGCCTGGAGGGAGTGGCTCTGTCTGATCTGGGGGTTCAGATTACTCGGGTACAGCTTCTCAAACCGGAAATTCCCGTCCCCGTGTATCCAAGTGACACGTGGATATTTGACGTCACAACTCCATCGGTATGTTAACAGTAGCAATATAGAAAATGGTTCGCGGGGCAAACATGCCATCAGTTGTTTTATTATGGATGTAAACTGTAGCTTATTACTAAACAGCACATCTAGTGGGTATTGGATTTTAGGATGACGTCATCGGATAATCATTTTTACTGCAGACTCAATCGAGAGAGAACACGTTTTGGACACAAGCTCCACCCTTACTAACGAAAGTAAAGCACATATCTGTATTGTGAAGCTACTGACACCTATCATTAGTGTTTTCAGTTGTTACCACCCATTACACGTAGCATAACAACACACAACATATTTCTAAGTGCTGAGAATCAGATGCTTTGTTCAAATGACAACGACTTTTGGACATGAGATCCTACCTGCTCTGAGTAAGAAGCTGGTAAGATAGATCTTGAAATTGAACTCGGCAGAAAGTGGAAGGTCAAAAATGTTAGACCAAAAACTGTGAGAATGTCATCTGTGGTAACTTTCCAATCATTTTGATATTGTCCAGTAAACCAAGGTAATATACTTTTCCAAAACCACCAATACTTGAATATGACGTACTTAAAAATATCAAAGATCTTATGATATGCAGTTTGCGACCATAATCAGAATAATAATACTTCTCGACATTTCAATACATGCAACCAAAAGTTAAACAAATTATCCCCATTTTCTCATAGTAAAACACAACCGAAACAAGATGTTGGATTTAAAAGGCCACAGCCTTATTTAATGTAAAAATTACACAACCTCAGAAAATGACAGGACCACTTAACAAGTAGTCCTCCAGTTGCCCACGACAAGAGTTACCATTCATTTAAAAGCGATGTCAACGACCAGCTATCCGCTCCGTGATGAGCATCCTCCTGTTTCCGCTCATATCGATTGTTATTGCGTTATATAACTCTGATACAGATAATTCCTTAATTGAACGATATTTATATATATATCTTTCTGTACTCTTAGGTATTGTATATCAATATGGAAACCGTTATTATTATGTATACTTATTACTCAAACGAATTTATGTATACCGGGAAAATTTCGCTGCAGTTAAACTTTCGCCTATTTTGCCCTCCCCAATGAGGTCGATATTATCATGGCAGCGAATATCAGTACACAACAGACAATATATAGTAATTAACATGGACGAACATGGATTTCATCGGTAAAGGGCGAATGTTTAACCAGGCGAATGTTTAACCGGACGAATGTTTGACCGGGCTAATGTTTAACCAGACGAATGTTTAACCGGGCTAATGTTTAACCGGGCGAATGTTTAACCGGGCGAATGTTTAACCGGACGAATGTTTGACCGGGCTAATGTTTAACCAGACGAATGTTTAACCGGGCTAATGTTTAACCGGGCGAATGTTTAACCGGGCGAATGTTTAACCGGACGAATGTTTGACCGGGCTAATGTTTAACCAGACGAATGTTTAACCGGGCTAATGTTTAACCGGGCGAATGTTTAACCGGGCGAATGTTTAACCGGACGAATGTTTGACCGGGCTAATGTTTAACCAGACGAATGTTTAACCGGGCTAATGTTTAACCGGGCTAATTTTTAACCGGACGAATGTTTGACCGGGCTAATGTTTAACCGGGCAATGTTTCCTGATATGCTGTATACAGTTGTGAAAACTTAAAGCACCCATTATGTTTTTGAATCTGTAAGGAGTTCTTGTTCTGACAGAGTGACTTATTCTATAGATCCAAAAGTTTTTAAATAAATCAGATGTCTTTTTCTATCAGTGTTCAGATGTCTTTTTCTATCAGAGTTCATATGGGTTTTTTCTATCAGAGTTCAGATGGTTTTTTCTATCAGAGTTCAGAAGTCTTTTTTTATCAAAGTCATCTATCCTACAGGAACAACATTTTGTATATTTTCCATATGTCTCGTCCCTTGATTGCCTTACCCAGCAGCATTGGCTGTTGGTTTATAAAAGAGATTGAGGCTGGTCTGGGTTTAGATCACCAACAGTCAGAGACTTAAATTCGAAATTAGACCTTTTTCTAATTTTCTCGAACTCGTTATTTATATATATAAAAAAAAGTTTAACGCAAGCAGTTGTAAGTGTAAGCGTAGAGCTATTGCCAGGGTGAAACATGATACAATGATGGTGATGATGATGCGTCTTACAAAAACACAGAACATTGTTTGCCTTGTAGATAACTGTTCCTGACACGGATACAACATATTGGTGGTACCTCACCAGACTACCTCACCTCTCCGACAAACACCATATCATCAAGGTAATTACATGTGTTTCATTAATCTTTCGCACCTGTCTGACATATACCATATCATCAAGGTAATTGCCATTTGTATGACATACACCATATCATATATATAAGGGAAAGTGTCGTACTCGACTTTCTCACCTGTCTGACATATACAATTTCATCAAGGTAAGTATATTTTTCTCATTATCTTTCGTACCTGTCTGATATACACCATATCATTAAGGTAAGTGAAAGTGTCTTCCTCGACTTTCTCACCTGTCTGACATACACAATTGCATCAAGATAAATATGTGTGTCTCATTATCTTTTGCACCTGTCTGATATACACCATATCATTAAGGTAAGTGAAAGTGTCGTACTTGACTTTTTCACCTCTCTGACAAACACATCAAGGTAAGTATATGCATCTAATTATGTTGCCCATATGTATGACATGCACCATATCATCAATGTAAGTGAAAGTGTCGTACTCGACTTTCTCAACTTTCTGACATACACAATTTCATCAAGGTAAGTATAATATATGCATCTAATTATCTTTCTCATCTGCTCGACATACACTGTATCAGCAGTAAGTAATAGGGTCTTGGGAGACATTCGCATCTGTTAGAAATAACCATGCAATTAAACTAGCACTAGTCTGCAGCTCAAGTACATTCTTTAGTTTATTATAATGTACAAAAACAAATCCTGTATGTAAGATGTTTTTCATCGTTTAAGTTAATATAGTCATTTGAAAAAATGAAAATCGTATATCGCAATATTTTTAAGGATACAACGTACATGTAAAAGAAAAACAAAGAAAACAAAACGTCACCAGCAACATCATATACTTATACACAAAGATACAACATGCTAGTAAATGTGAAATACAAAATTGAAATAGTTCATGTTCACTCAAGTTTATTGTACTATAGCATACACGATCACATACTATAGTGAGTCAATACAGCAAACGTTTACTACACCATACCGCCATGTCGTCTCCTCAGGGCTCAGCAGTAGTACTTAAGAGCGAAGGAAGAAAACATTAATAAAATGGCCCAAAACATATAAAAGTATAGAACGGGTGCCTGCAATTGTTTTGCAAAAAAAAAAAAAAAATGTCACCTTTCATTTGTAGAAATATAGAAAAAAAAGAAAAAAAAAACTGCCTGAAAAATCTTTTAAAATTACACAAATTTTATGGCTGCGATCTATAATAAACATAAGAAAGAAAGTTCATGAGATAAAAAGATAGACATAAAATAAAGCTGTAAGTGATATTAAAACAAAATGTCAGCAAAATTTATCTTTTGTAGTACGAAAGTGTCATTCAGCGGGGAAGTGAGCATCTAGTCCATCATATGGAGGTGTTTCAGTGTGAAATCCATCCTGATGACGACATCAAACCTTATAACGGTCCTGGCATGGCGGAAGGGAAGCCACCGGAACTGTCAACATGCCGGAATGTCATCGGAGCATGGGCAATGGGATCGGGCGTACGTTGTATTGTTTTGCGTTATTTTTGGATTATTGTAGATATATTTAATACAAAATGCAATCCTTTGATTTTAAAACTTTAATGATGTTTAGATAAAATGCCAATTCACCAAAATTGAACCAGTGTTGTAAAATAGTTATTACATCAAGAGAATGAAAACAGTTGACGAGGTTCCATTGACTCTTTATTTTATTTTCAGCCGTTCATACTACCCCCAGATGCTGGTATACCTATAGGCGAGAGATCCGCTTCGTCCTTCATCCTCCTAGAGATCCACTACAATAACCCTAATTTACTTAAAGGTAAAAAATTAACTTATTCTGTCAAAGGAATTAACAATAACCTTATATAGTCAAAGGCATTACCTATAAATTTATTAAGTCAATGTATATTAACAATAACCTTATATAGTCAAAGGCATTAACTATAAATGTATTAAGTCAAGTATATTAACTATAACCTGATATAGTCAAAGGTAGTAATGATAAGCTTTTATAAAAAAAACATACATTTGTATATGATCCAATATTATCACCCCTTATCATATTAAATAGTCAAAGAATATAACGTTAGCATGACTTGATCATAGGTATTAATGATACACTTACATAGTGTATAGTGTGATTGACAACCTAAACATGATTAACACCAAGAACAGTAACTATTATAAAGAATTCAACTACCGCAGTAATTCGACACATTAAATCGGATAAAACAACAAGTCGGTTAAAACATGATGATAACCAACTTACAAAATATAAGAAGGACTACTTTCATTTTTTAAAGCTCGCCAAAAATCCAGAATAGTTTCTTCAATGAAACAATATATCAAATATATTAACACAGGTCTGTTACTTATCATGTTTAGGTACTAATATTGAATTCGTGCGCTACAAGTAACAACTACTGTCAACAACCTACATATTACCAGATTAATTGATGTCACATACATTTGTGTTGGGAAACAGTTAATCAACATAGATATTGTTGCTGACAATCTTTTCTGAGAATGTTAATTATAAGATAGAAAATACTGGAAAAACTCATATATAATCTTAAATATGATCACAAATGTTTCACATATATGGAGAAGTAACAAAGCTCAGTAATGGTATTATTTTAACAGAGACGATATTTAATACGCTGTCTAGACCTATTCCGTGTCTCCTGCCATGTCTATATAAAATCGCAGCTCAGATAGTAACACATTCATCTTCAAATGAGATACATGTATTTGTTTTGCGATTTTACTTTAAAATATGCTACTTTAAGAAAAAAAAATGTTTCACTGAAATGTTTAAAACGCTATTTTGTAACTGTAGTATCTGTCAAAATATACCCAGCGGTATCCAAGGCTTAATCAGTATATCCAGGAGACTTATGAAATGAAAAAAAAGCTAAATAACCTTGGGCGCAATAAAGGTCATTTACGCAAATTAGCAAACCTTGTGCATTCGGAAACATTCTTGTTTTACAACCTTTGTAAATAAGGATAAAGTTCAATTAAGTACACATGAATGAATCATTTGGCGTTGTAAACAGGGGCAGTGAAATGTGATCGTATGATGGTGATAATATCAAATGGGTTCGAAAACAGATTTTTAAACAGCTAACAGAAAACTAAACGACCTTCGCTTTTTATCTGCTCCATTTTCTCATCATATTGATAAATATTCACGTCATTTCCAGCTGTTTATAGCTTATGATTTTAATTGTAGGAATAGTGGATTCCTCGGGAATTAGATTTTATGTCACGCGCCATTTACGTCGCCATGACGCCGGGATTATGGAGCTTGGATTGGAATACACCAACAAAATGGCCGTTCCGCCTGGCCAGACGTCATTTCCCCTAAGAGGATACTGTATTGCCGAATGTACGAAAGTGGTGAGAAGTCATAATTATCACAAATAACCAAATTGTCTTTGATTCTTTTATCAATTTGGCGAACTGCAGATCTTTGAGGATTTTGTTCGATTTAATAATGGCATTGTGCAAAAAATGTCGATTTCATACGGACAACAAATTGAATGAAACACTATAAAAGTATAACCAAAAATAACTAAAGGATTTCATGAATGACGGTATCAACAATTGATTTCTACTTGTCAAAAGTATATGTCTTGATATAAAAAATTCAAATTCTTGATATAAAAAATTCAAATTCATGATACAACAAGATATCAATATCAAGAATTTTAATTTTCATTGACAAAGAATGATTTATAACAAAAATATGATTTATTAATGACAGGAAATGGGCAATATACGCGCTGAACATTGTTCATGTTTTTTACTAAAGGGACTTGGACATCACAGTATCCATATATACGGGTCACAGTTGCATACACATATGACGGGAAGAAAAGTATATACCAAACACTTACGTGAAGGGGTGGAATTACCAGAACTCAACAGGGACAACCATTACAGTCCACATTTCCAGGAAATCCGTCGTCTTCCTGTTCCAGTCGAAATTCGTCCGGTATGGTATCATTTGCTATTTCTTTAGTTCAGATGTGTGCAATGATATAATTAAAATAGACTTAATTTACCATAACAAAATGTTTTGACAATAATCACAAAAACAATTATTGAATATTATCGATATTTAGCAGTTTGAAAATAATTATTTTTTCATAAATAAAGGTATCAAAGAGAACTATTGAACAGAAATTATCATTAGCTGATGGTATGCCAAGTTACCAGATACAGCTTTTACTATTCATTCTTGTTATGACAATACTGTAAGTGGGACTCAATTTTGATAAACACTTAGTAGAACATGTATCGATGCAGTTGATGCACTAAAACTTATGGGGTGATGTGACACAATTTAATTCAACAAAAGACCTACATTTATTGATATATAAAGTTTCGGTTTTAACGTGGATATTTGTGTCAATTCTTAGTTGAATATGTGTTTTTGTTTTTGACAGGGTGACGCACTAGTGACAACATGCGATTACCACACGGAGGACAGACCAAACGTAACAGTGGTAGGTATACCTCTTATTACTACTTATTGGTAGGTTACCTCTTATTACTACTTATTGGTCGGTATACTTCTTATTACTACTTATTGGTCGGTATACTTCTTATTACTACTTATTGGTAGGTATACTTCTTATTACTATTTATTGATAGGTATACCTCTTAATACTACTTATTGATAGGTATACCTCTTATTACTACTTATTGGTCGTTATACTTCTTATTACTACTTATTGGTAGGTATACCTCTTATTACTACTTATTGGTCGGTATACCTATTATTACAACTTATTGGTCGGTATACTTCTTATTACTACTTATTGATAGGTATACCTCTTAATACTACTTATTGATAGGTATACCTCTTATTACTACTTATTGGTAGGTATACCTCTTATTACTACTTATTGGT